CTAACAAGCTTAAACTCAAATGAGTAATTTATGTATACTGTATTAGATTATATCAATACTTTTTTATTATATATTTCAAATAAATCAATTTCATTAGAGGCCAAGTTAGAAGTAACGGTTTTCCACACAAATAATTGCATTTGACATTTTCATTCGCAGATTATCCAAAGCCTCAGTAGTTCACTTAACGCTTCATCACATTGGATTGCACTCGAGCCAAAGGTACGAGAATAATTGCGCACACTGTAGACTCGTCTCGCCACAGTCACACTCCAACGTAGTGGCCAGTAGCAGCCGTCGAGTACAAATCTCTCATAAGTGTATTCGATCGAGTGCCGACCGCTGCCAAGTAGCGGCTAGAAATAAGTGGCAAAATTGCGCTCTTGAAACGCAGCAAACCACGTCTAAATGCACCGCAAAAGCGTTGTTCCGATAGGTAGTGTTATCCAATTGATGTGGCTAAGACTGTTTGTATGAGCGGGTTGAAAAGTTCGGTGAGGTGTCACCAATGTAACTTACCTCAATAAGGTGGACTCGGTGTTTCAATGAAAAGCTATTGTGTGCTTCACTCCCTTCCTAAGTGGATTTCCTTTATTATTTTTTTGCACCTCAATTTTATGATTATTTTTTTCGCCATTTAGCTAGACGTCTTCAATGACTCGGCTGCGTGTAATAGCCGCAATGTGCCCAATTATGTGTGAGTATTAGCGGCCGACACAGGATGAGTGGTAGAGCACTTTTTACTGTAGTAATTGCTTTTCAAAATTAATATATGAGGTAACACTACTTTAGCTTCTACAATAATAAAATTTCACAGTTAGCGCGGAGTTTTCCAACGATTTCTCTAAACTAACAAAGGATTAGAATAGGTATTGCGATTGCAAAAACTAACAGATTATTTTGTGATGATTATGGAATACGATTGCGCCGGCTACTTAAGGATAATAGCACATTCTTATTTTTGAAGCGACTAGGTAAGCCAAGTCTAATGATACGTTCATATGGATGATAATAGAAAGAGGTCAAAGTTTGCAAAAAAATCAATTTGTTCCATGCAGGAAGTCAGCAGAATATAAAAACAGGAGCTTTGTTGACTCCATGGTTTAGAAAGAATAAACTATGATGTTTAACCTAGAGATTCGACCAATAAATGTCTCCTCAGATTATTTTCGATACGCCTTTTGAACTCTCGAGTAAAAATTTCTGAATGTCCCCTAAAAAAATAGCATAATTAAAGTTCGGATTCAGCTAATGATGACAATCTGTAGTATTGAGGGTTCAATGAGTTGACTACATGTCTATGAAAATGTGTTATTTTCACGCATTACGAGTAATCTGAATCGATGGTTGGTGTAGTTGACCGGAATAAAATATCTAAAAATCAGCGTTGCTTATTGTGCTTATTGGAGTACCTATTTACCAGTTCTATTTCTCTATGGCCATTTGGCAGAAAAATATATGTTTCCTGTCCTGATGGTTACATTCTGACATTAAAAAGAAATGTTACTACAGGCGTTATTTCCTTTGATAAGAGGAAATGGTGAGTTGTTCAAATTAAATAGAATAATTTCTGTGCTTTGTAAAATATTGGCTTAATAACTACACGTTTGGTTTTTTTTTCAAAATTTTAAAGATTATTTAAGAAAAACATGTACAATAGTATTTCTCAAATCATTGTTTATCTAAAGCTAGAACATTTTCTCATCTATTTGGAAATTAGTGGATTCCATCCCAAAAGAACTTGGTGGCCAAGGATTAATTAAGGAAATTTTGGATACCTTAATCACATGTGAAGGGACAACACATTGTCAGAAGGGACAAGGTCTAAGCCATAAGGCGGGAGAAGCAAAACTTACCAGCTGCTGTTTTCAAATATTTTTTAACCGACCTTACAACATGAGGTCGAGCGTTGTCATGATGGAAAATTATTGTTTCATGTTTAGTCGCAAATTCCGCGCGTTTTCCGGCATTCACTTGCTTTAATTCCACATAATGTTGCTTACCCCATTAATGATTTTAACCGATTTCAGAAGCTCAGAATACAGCCACTAAATACAGAGCATTTGTCATCATGGGTATTCAGCTTTGTCGTTGATTTGTCTGGTTGCCCAGACTTAACATATGATTTTTTGCATTTGGGGTTGTCGTAATGGATTCATTTTTCATCACCTGATGCAAAAGTAACTTCTTTTTGTAGCCTTCAAGTGTCACTCCTAACAAAAAAAAATCGTCTTTTACCGTCTCTTGCCTTAAATTCACATGACACCCAATTTCCTTGCGTTTGAATGTATACGATTGTTTTAAACGCTCTAAAATTACTGCGTAAGTGACTCCCAAAGTCTCTGTTTATTTAAGAAATGAAGAAAAACTTCCTGCAAAAACACTTTTTCAGGCACAAGGTCAACATATTGAGTGTAGAAAAATTAGTGTTGTTTCCGCTTCAAATGAATGACATACTTGTATACTGATATATAGCTTTCCAACGCATGTGCGGAATATTGGAACAATGAATTAATATTAATTTTAGGATTTATAAAGATAATTAATTAATTAATTTTGTATTGGTTTTCGTATGCTTAACCAGCCGAATTATACATTGATTTCGGTCAGAAAAATTTGTTTAAATAAACTCGCACTCTGTAGCTTGCCGCGTTATCCGGGGTTACGGAGTAGCAGAAAGGTCGTCATTTGCCGGTAGCAGTCAACATTGCTGTTATTGTTGGCTTTACCTTCGCTTCTATAAAATTAAAGCATTTCAATTAGATTGGTGAATTGCTAAAGAAGAACTGTTCTCTATATGTTAAGTATTTAAAATTCAATAAGAATATAAATGTTGATATTAATAAATCAATTATAGCGAACACTTAATTCAGATTACCAGTTAGAAAGTAATATGTCATTACAGTCACATGGTCATAAATTTCGACCAAATCATTCATGCCATGCCAACATCCAGTTAATCATAAAATATAAATTCATATCCATCACATATTTCAACAGGAAATCATCATTGAATTTATTCGAAATAATAAATTTGTGTTAAGTAGAACTCATTAATTATCGCACGCATTGCGTTAGAGATATCACACATATATATTTATATCAATAAATTCAAGCGACAGTTGATTGATTTATTTGTGGTTGAAATTAATTCGCTTTAGGGGATTATAAAATGTCGCATGAATTGAATTTGTTGTTTTTATTTATCTAATTATTTTTTAATTTTTATGCTCGGTATTTTTAAGTCGTATTTGTTTAATAAATGTTTTTGATGAAAGTACAATGAAGTGTATATTTTTCGGGAGTATGTCTTTAATACCTCAAGAGTCATTGAACTATCATATTGTTGAACCCTTTATGCGTACATACTATACTAAAGATCACTTCGAGCGGATAATCCATGTTGTTGGCGAATTGACGCTCCTATTAGCTTTACCTTAGCGGGATCCTTTAAGTTATAAGCCTGCCGGGTCATAATTGACTTGTTACTGTACTTTTTTTAACTTCTTCATCCAATTTATAATGAGTTAATTACATTTTCAAGATGTGTCTCAGTGTCGTAATTTTGTATTAGACTATTTTGGATTTCCTGTGAGGAATCAAGATAAATCCTGGGTTTCACAAAAATGTTGTGTAATGTGTGCGAGACTGATATTATGGGGCTAAACAAGAATCCAGATATACATGTGCTTTGAAGAGAAACTAAATGATGCGGAAAAACTCGCCTGGAAATACGATAATTTGCAGTTCTATCAAGCCCGTTTGGGGATTTTTGATGTCAAAGCCAATAAAATAATAGAAATCGTTGAGTGAAACCATCATGTGAACACGATTTCGAATAACCAGTAGTTGAACATTGCACAAAATCCATTTGGAACCTTTTAAATAAGGCTGAAACGGACAGCTTTAATCAATAGGTTTGGTTGGTCCACCTTATAGTCTCGATCTATTACTTGTAAGTATTATTAGCCTTAAGAGAAGCTTGTGAAAAGCGACTGCCCCAGTTTTAATGGCAGCTTTATGCTATAGTGGTTCAATCTGAACAACTTGTTCGGAGATTACAACGTCGCGCCAAATTTCATAAAGATATAGCGTAAAATAAAAAAGTTTTCCATATAAGGATCTGAGTTTGCTCAGTCAGTTTGTATGGCAGCTTTGATTTGTGAAGTTTTGCATAATAATCTATGCAAAATATTGTGGAAATATTTACCTCCTCAAAATAAAAAGTTTTCATACAAGGACTTGAGAAGCTTCTTAGTGAGAAAAGGATGTGTATAAGGTTTCAGATCGATATTTCAAAAACTGAGGGACTAGTTCGCGCATACACAGGCAGACGTAGAAACGGTCAGAAGAAGCGGACATGGCTTAATCGACTCAGCTCGTTACGCTGATCATTTAGATATATTGTACATTTTATAGGGTCTCCGACATTGCCTTCTGGGTTTTACAGGGTATAATAAATAATTTATTTATACTAGTCCTTATAAATCGGATACTAGGCGTGCTAATTAGTCGAGAAGTCTATAAAGCTCCAAAACTGTTATTGAACAGTATGGTTCCAACTTTACTGAAAGAACATTACTTGCGAAGCCCACTTCAGGTTCACTGTCTGCATAAATGAAAAACATAACTAATGGCGTATTGGAATAAATTAATGCAAAAAACTTTTCTCACATTAGCACCAACAATTCGAAGCGTATTACAAAATCAGCTTTTGAACAAAGCGGAAAATTGAATAAAACTGCAATTGGCTTTACCGGGGAAATAAAAAAATAACATTAAAAATAATTCAACTGATTAAATTGTCACATATGAGAGTAGATTAAGTCTCGAAAGCTGCAAAGACATCCAATAACAAACATATCTGCACTAAATATGCTATGAAATTTTTATTATATGTGCAATTACATTTAATGCACGAAGCCCATAAAAAATTCATAATAAAAACAGCAACTGTTTCTATAAAATATTTATATAAAAGTAAATAAATTGGAGCGGTCATGCAGTCAGCAATAAATAAAGCGTTGATTGTACTTACAGCCGTGATATTGGCTACCATTGGAGGCTTGCCATCCTTTCCAGGTGTAAAAGTAAGTACATTTATATTCTCTAACGAGCAACTTTTTCAAATAAATTTGTGTTGGTTCTTTTGTTGCAGGCTCGTTCCGCTTCAGGTAAAAATAAGTTTGGACCTGAGCGTGTCCGTATCTGTCGATGGACGAGCTGCGTAGGTTTAGCGAAAAAGACTTCAGCAATGCCACGAAGGCCACACAATGTTTCACACACTCTCTCTGCGAACACATGGGCCTGGTGAGCAATGGCGTTTTTGTGGAGCGTTACATCATTAGTTTCCTGGGCGATGTCACCGATCCGAAACGCATGTTGGAACGTGAATGTTTAGGGCAATTCAGCGATAATAAGTGTGAAAGAGCTCTCCTTATCCATCAATGTTATCGTGCTGATCAACGGCTGATGAAGGATAATATTTATTTGTTTTAGGTATATTTAAAACAAAATGGCGAAGGGGGGTAATTAATAAATAATTAATAAATAAATTGCATCTTGAGAAGAAAATACCGCTATATGCACATATATCGTTATTGAAGTACAATAAGTATTGATGCATAGAATAATATATGTATGTATGTATACTTCAATCGCTAGCGCAGGCAGGCGGACCCACTTTAGTTTCACCGAAACCGTGTATGGTATCTATATATCGAAATTGTTGGAATCGTCTACTAAAGGGCGATCGTACAGCAGTGCGCAGTTATAGTGCACACCCCTTACCATTGTACCACGGCGATCATTGATATCTATAACCCTATATTCAATTCTTTTAAAGCTTTAGATATAGTTAGGTTTCTTTGTAACTTTTACCTGAGGCGGAACATAGATTATGGTACCGGGTAGTGAAAATTCGGCAAGATGTAAATTTTTTATCTTTCCAACAAACCGTTCTAAAAATACCGGAATTGTTTAAAGTATGAAAATACCACCCCTGTTGCACCTTCCAACATTGGAAATTTCCCAAAGCATTGCTATGTCATTTCCTGAAACATATCCAAAATATATGTTGGTCTTTTTGATAGTTGTTACTTGAATTATACTCAATTTGGTTTGCATTTCATAGTGACCACACTTACTCCAAATCAACATTTGCAAATCGTGCAAATTCATTTCCAAAATAATGGTTCGATACAAGGCGCGCTGCGACCGATATTTGGTCGACATAATCACCCAGCAGAGTAGAAAATTCGAGCAACCATAGATTAGTTTCGTACCACGTTGACTCTAGTGGGTAATGCGCATGCTCAGAGTCGCCATATAGTGCTTACCGAAGACGCTATCGCTGCTATGGAGCAGAGTATCGAATAAGACCCGAATGAGCAGCGTCTGTTCGTTTTCCGTGCAAACGATAATTTGAGTAAAAATTTAGATATCTTGTTGAAACTTACTTCATTCAAATTTGCTGAAAGAAAGTCTTTTTAACCTTTCTTTATTCGCTGTGATAATGGGTTAAATGAGATGATAACTACGCCCACTTCTCATAAAACGGTTATGCTAAAAACTACTAATTGGACTATATCTCAATAAATAAGTGCGTCAGACAACTGAGATGGTAAGGAAAGATTTCAAATCAAAATTAAAAATGTCGAAATCGGACAACAACCACGTCAACTTCCTATATATACATTTTTTATTTCCATATGAATCTTTCACTTTACTAAATAAAAATCAAGCCTCAATACTACCCCTACGGGATATATAACGCTGCAAGAATTTTAATTTTTTTCACTGGGAAATTTTCAGTTTTAGAAAATTTTAAGTACTGAATGTTAAACTAAATTGGTACTTTTGAAACATAATTGTGATGACTAAATTTATATGTTAAATACTTTAGCTTTAGCTCCAGTTCGAATCCAATTTGATCAGATCACATCCATATGTGAATAGCACGAACCAAATTTAATAATTGGTATTTTTGCGATTGGATATGAAAATTATAATATTTTGTTATTCTGAAAGATCTGAATCCTGTTAATTTTGTCGTTTTAATTATTTTTCTAGTTCTGTCCCAGCGTCTACCCTAACATAATGCAATTTGCCGTAACTTATAATTCCACACCCCTGCAAAGAGTTCAACGACTTCACAACTGCATAGCTTATGAGATTAATAAAAGATTTTGCAATTGTATGTGGTTGACTAGCGCTCTTTCAACCGGTGCACAAATCCGCACCCAACAAAGCCACAAAACAATGGAAGGAACGACAATGTTAAAGTGGTGAAACGAAGTTTGGTCGACAAAACGGATGCAAGAGAGAAAGAGGGGATGGCCAGCCTTAAAGCGCCAACTAAAACCAAACTGAATGCATACGCCTACTGCAGTATGTAAATCCGCTTTGTCATTCAAATTAAAAACTAGTAGTTACCACACACAAAAAGTGCGGGTCGCAGGCAGGGAAGATGCTGCGCAAGCGCTTGAATATTCAAATCGACAGCCGGCAGTAAAACAAAGAAAACTTCAATGACATATAGGATGGATAGCTATAGAAACGGGGTTTAACGAGACCAACATTTAACGAAAGTAAGCCGGGCAGCACACAGTATGCCGAAGCTGTGGCGGTATGGAGCGAGGTGGCTGACGAGACGACGTGCTACTTACAAAGCGTCTCAAGATTAGGCGTAATTATGCAATTTACTTTAAACGCACAACCGCGTGACATGGCGCACAAAAGAGTTGAATTCAATAAAATTTACATTTTACCACACAAAAACCTGCGGGCAGACTCACAAGGTAGAGGAAAGCCACGAGCTCTTGGCTTAAAAGCAGCAATTGGCTTGTAGTGATGCTCACGGAGTGGCGGGAAGGGAGGCGGAAGTGGATTTTGTGGTTAAAAAATGCAAACTGAGCAGGTGCATGGCTTATGATGGAGTTTCTGGCTGTTGGCTTTATTGTTGCCTGCAATAAGTACAACAATGGTTGAATTCATCGGGCGCCATAAGAAATTTCGGTGGGACCTATCTTCTTCGTTTAGCAAGAAACGTCTGCGCATATCTTTCGCTCTTATGCAAATTGAAAATATAACCGAAAATTAGTTGAGTCAGCAAAGCGCACCAATACAACTGAAAGCCAGGGAACACACAGAGATCTTAGGCAATGAAATTGTCACAGATATGCGCTTTCATGGAGGCGATAATGCTAACGGCTCGAAAAAGAACGAAACAAATTAAACAAATTCAAATTGGAGTGCACATTTCAATGGCAAACGCAAGAACCATTGAAGAGTTGTAAAACAAATCAGCACTTTTCGCAGCGCCGCAAAAGCTTTGAGTACTTACGTGGAAATACTTTGCGATGGAGTTGAAGTTTGCGCTCAAATTCAATTTCATGCTGCACAGCGCCAAAACAAAGGCCTCGTAACAAAGCTCTCTCGGTAAATTCTACATTGTGGGTTATATATAGGAAACAGCAGTTTGAAGAAGATCCACCAAGAAGTGGCCTCATCTTATATTTGTTGCTTTTTGCGAAAGTATTTGTATAATATGCCAGCAATACCTAACTTGAAGTGTTAAAATTGCAAAGATAGCATTTAATTGATCAATTGAATCGAGTTCACTTCATCACTTCAAAAAACTAGTTTTCGAAAATTTAATTTAAATGCTGGAGTCAGTGACGATCAAATTCAAATATAACTTTTAATTAAAATTGAATTTTAACCTTGAAAGTAAGTCAAATATGGCAACTTTTACATATTTCTTCTTACGAGAATCTTTCAAGTTGTGTCACGTAGTCTCTTATATCATCTGATTAAATTTGCAAAATTAAGAATTTTTTTATAGTAAGTTTGATACTACTTATACTTTACGATTTCTACCGATATTTCTGTAATTTTCATTTATTGGTATGGAGGTTTTCGGAGATGGAGATTGCTTGCTCTTTTGGCAATTGAAAAAGCCCACGCAGATACACAGAATAGAGATTAACCCACCTGTTAAGCATCAATATTGGCGCGAGTACAGCTGCCATTCCCCAACAGAATACCATATGATACTTTACGTGAGTGTATCATCTATCTATCGCATACAATTGTGTATATTATCGAATACTATCGACCCTTATTATAGTGGATAGAACAGTCAAAATCAGGAAACTGTCTAAATTATTTTGTGAAATTAAAACTGAATACATTGAATATCTTATTTATTTATTTTGAATTATTTTGTGAAATTAAAACTGAATACATTGAATATCTTTACCGAAATAATATTATTATACTCTTTGCAAAACTCTGTGTTAGATGGGATCAAAAGGGTGTGGTATATCATGATCTTCTAAAACCTGATGAAACTATTAATACTAATCGCTACAGATGACAGATGTTCAATTTAAACCATGCTTTGATCGAAAAACGACCAGAATCGGCCAGAAGACACGGCAAAAAATTTTGTTACACGACAATGCATAAAAAATGCACATAAAGCAAAATCGGTTCAGGATGTAATCGAAATACTTGCTTGGAGCTCGGCATATTCGCCAGACTTTTCACCTTTCGATTACGACGTCTTTTCATCGATGGGACACGCATTGGCTGAGCAACACTTCGATTCCTACACAGAAGTCGAAAATTGGGGATCTGATTGGTATGATTTAAAAGAAGAACATTTCTATTGGAATAGTATCCACAAATTGCCAGAAAGGGGGTCTTTGGTACTTTGAATACATTTTTTTTTTAGTTTCCCTTTCAAAATTAGTATTTCATTTTCACAAAAAATAAAATTCATATCGGTACACTTGGTACATATATATACTCGTAGACATGATCAAGATTATGTGACGATTTTAATCCGGGTGACTGTCTGTCCGTACAAGCGATAGCTTGAGTAAATATCTTGATGAAACTTGCCACATATGTTCCTTGCCTCCTAACGGAGGTCGGTATTGAAGATGGGCATAATAGAACCACTGTCCGCTAAACACCATTTAACGAGAAACTATAAAGTGTCATAACTTAGCAACAAGTTAAGATAAAAAACTATAATTTGATGCAGAGAATCGCAGTAGTGAGAGGCACTTGTGGGAGTGGCCGCACCCTCTAAATGATGACATATCTTCCAAACCACTGAAACTAACACAAAAGTGCGATAATCCACTGAATAAATGCTCCATAAGCATTAAAGTTCACAAGCAAGATGGTGTTAAAAATGGACAAGAGGCTTGGGTGAGGAGGTGTTTTCGTCTATTACAGATAGCTGGATACTGTCCCTGGCCACATCACATAAGTGTCTTGCTGTTGTTGTGCTGTTCAGCATGGCTCCTTCCTGCTAGATTTTTTAAGGTATTTGCCAATATTTTGTTGTGGGGGCAATTTTTTTTCTGGAAGCTGCTTAGTTTGGTGATTTCTACTCGAGTGTCAGATTTCTTCCCTTTCAGGAAACTTCTATATTCCTTCACTATCTGTGATTGTCGCTTGATCTTCTCTACATCAACTGAAGT